AAATCAGTCCTTTTCTAATCTGATCTCAAATAAGGATTCAAGCTCATATTTCTGTAGCAATAGAGAAACATACTTAATATTCCTTGCCGCCATGGTCTTTGCCCATAGAAGTCAAGCACTCCAGTTTGTGTTTCCAGGGGATCCGGATTGGGATATGTCACAGAGGACTGGAAATTCAAGTATAGTAATTAAAATGGTTCCTGTTTTGTATTCTGCCAGACAAGTGTTAGAAAAATACTAAAACAATACCCCCCATATCCTAGTACCAATGCTCCTGTTCTTCTGCTTCCTGTAAGTCACCAGACACAGTGCACATATAAATATACTGGAAAAACAAAGTGAGTTTTCAAGTATCCAGAGATGCAAAAGTATATTAAAAAAAATAATTAAAAACATGTCAGAATTATTTGTAAATAAATAAATAAATACTAATGTATTTGTTCTGGGGCAACTTCTTCCATACATTATAAATACATGCAATGCTAACAAGCATCACAAAGACACATTTTCATTCCTCGGATTTCATTTACACATATTATAGATTGTTCCACTTCCATTTAAGACTATGTTAGGGAATTCACTATCTGGTTAATTACAAAGCATTTTTCCCCTCCCAACTTACATCATGGTTACAAAGCATACTTGCTAGTTGTTTCCGTTCCTGTGCATAGTAGGCTGCCTGCTGGTAATAGAAACCTGGATTCTGAGTTTGAATTGCTGTCAATCCCAGCTTAATTGCTTCATCAAACAAGTCACCAAAAGCCTGAAACCTGTTAAAAAAAAAACATTTATAACCAAGATTAAGTATAGAACAGCAATATGAACTGAAAGGCGCCCTACAAATAAAAGTCCTGGTTACTCAAGAGACATGATATTTCTCTGAACTTTTGCATCTAAGTTCTATGGGTGCCTTGTTCATACTATGTTCATTCAAAGAGAAAAGCAGTCAATGATCAATGCAAAACAGAACAATAGTGTATTTTATGTTCTTGTGTATCTCTTAGCTAGAAAACTGGAAATTTGTATATTGTCTAGACAAGTAAACCTTTCGAAGTTCACTGTTTATCTAAAACACTACTAAGCAAAAACATACTGTTTAGACATCCAGGCAGCATGTTCAAAAGCCAGTTCTGCACTTCCTATTTTTTTCTTGCATAGGTCAATATGCTTCCTGAACTGTGCAATAGCATCCAGTGGAGTATTATGCTGAAAACAGAGGCGACAGATCTAGGAAAAGATAAAAGTAAAACAAAAAATCACTGTTAGGCTGTTAAGGATTAGCAGGCAACTCCGCCAGTCCCCCAACTAATTCTACATAATTCTGAAGGGCAAAAATTGCATAAAAAACAAAGCAAGAAAAGTTTATGGTTCACATCTGTAAACCATAATGCACTACACCTGAAACCATGTGGTTCTCTATTTCATCTAATACTATTTATCATCCCCTACTTGCCCAAGACATCAACAGAATGCATAACTCACTGCCAAATATAACAGGAAACTTCAGAGCCTCTAGAAAGATCATTATTTTGAAGCCTGCAGTCTGCAAATGGAATCTGATGGAATTCAACTCCAAGATTCTTGTAAGTGGTTGGATAGTTTTGCTTTACCTAAAAGCCCTCAAAATACCACAAAAGTATGGACTGATTCTTAGAGAGTTACTTTCCTCCCCCTAATAAGCAGTAACTGAACTAAATTGGCCTAAGCTTTGCAAGAAGACAAAAATATTCAAGGAACAAGAAGCCCTGGTGTTCATTCTCCCTGCTCAGAGCCAGAAGACTGCACCTCAAAAGAACTTAAATCCTTCAAGATAATCCCAAACTTCACTAAGGATCTTTCTTTTGTGTGGAATTCAGAAGTCTGTGCAAGTCTGAGCATAATTGGTGTTCCAATGATAACTCTTTCTAATCCATCTCTGTAAAAGCAATATAAAACTGAACTTTACAACCTTTCCCCATTAAAGGTACATCAACTTTTTTTCTTTTAAGTAACAGTTGTCAAAGACTAGAAGTACAGTTTTTACCTTGTAATTTATAAATCCTGCCATGGTCTTGATTTCCAGCATGTTTGTTTCATGAGCCCTCAATTCATGCACAAGATTATATGCAGTTCTGTAATTCCTAAGCAGAAATAAATAG